TTCTCTAATTTCTAACCCTAACCCTAACAAATTTTAGGACTGGTGATGATCACCACTGGTGATATGTAGTAATTTTCAAAAATAAAATAAGAAAATAAAATAAAAAAAAATATAAAATAAAAAAATAAAAAAAAAAATAAGAAAATAAAAAAAAATTAAATACAGTATACATATCTATTTCTTATCTGGTTTTTTCCTTAAGTAAGTATATTTTGAAATGATTCAATTAAATTATTTATATTCATTATATTCCAAGAAATCCCTCTTATACAAACTATCTATAGTTCATACTTTAGCTTCCATCAGCGATCGAAATAATCAGTGAAATTTTTAATAGCATTGATACTTATTTCCCTTTATTAGTTAATTGCACTTGCATTCTGTGCTTATGTATCTGTATCAGTCTATCTTTTCTCTTTTAGAAGCCACCAGAGGTCTTCCCAAACAGTTTTTTTTAAAAAGTTACTATTTGTGCTATGCTTATGACAAAGTTTTCAACACCAAGACTATAAAACATGGAAATAGCATAAAAACACAAAACTATCAGGAAAATTTTTTTGGCATGCCTTAATTTCCTCACCCACATCGTCTACTATGAAAATATCTGGTTTTTATCTCTTATTTTCATGTTTTAAAAAAGAAAACCATTTCATTAGCATCATCATTTGTTTAAACTAACTTATCAAAAAGGCAACCAGATATCTACTGCCTACTACTAGATATCTAATAATGAGTGTAAATAAATAATACTCATGATAATTTATTCTATGAGTTCCATCTAAACATACAACTCTTGTGAACTTTATTAGTTCTTTCTGCTCCTTAGTTTGAAACATAAACATAAACCCAATATCATCTGCCTTATTAAATTTTCTGTATCAACAAACTCCTTTCTTACTAATTATCTTATCTTTCCACATTTTTAAAAAATAAAATTTATCATTGTCAAAATAGGCTAATGCTTTTAGCATATTATAAACAATTGTATAGATATCATCCCGCATTATCAATCTATCCTGTAGTGTTTGCACATTCTGCAAATAGCCTTCAGAGTTAAGTGAATATACCTAAAAAAAAGAATTATGAAATTAATTTAAAAGTAATAAAATTAAACAAATAATAACAATAAAATATAAAAAAAAAAAATTTTAAATAAAAAAAAAATGATAATTTAAAATATTAATAAATAAATATATAAATGATAAATCTGATAATTTAATATATTGCATTAATAAAAAAAAAAAGATGTGATTTAAATATTAATAAATAAAACCAAAAATTAGAGAAAAAAACAAAAAAGAAAAAAGATCGATAATTTTTTTTAAAAAAAAATCGACAATTAAAAAAAAAAAAAATTTATATTTAAAAAAAAAAATCGATATTTTTTTTTTTACAAAAATAAGATAATTTAAAAAAAAAAAAATTGAGATATTTAAAAACTAGATAATTTAAAAAAAGAATATTTAATTATTAAAAAAAAAAAACCCAATTTTAAAATAAATAATAATAATTATTAAAAAAAAAGGTGGTATTTAAATTTTATTAAAAAAATTAATAATTAAAAAGAAAAAAAAATCAATAATTAAAAAAGAAAAAAAATCAATAATTAAAAAAGAAAAAAAAAAATCGATATTTTTTTTTAAAAAAATAAATATATATTTTTTTTAAAAAAAAACTGATATTTAAATAATAGAAAAAACCCCTCCTGATATTTAAATTAATAATACAGTTATAGAAAAAAAAACGATAGAAACCTGATTTTGTAATTCGATCGCCCGATGTCGCATAAGCTTTTGTATGCTAAAAACGTCTAGCCCTTTGAGAGAATGCTGTTGGATAAACTGTTAGATATTATCAAAAAGGGGCAATGTACATAAATCTGACAGTTTACCCGGGTAATGGTTACTATATTTATAATAGTACTTTAAAGTTACTGTTTGCAAGTTAATGGGAAGCACAACGTGAATGTAGCTTTTACACCCACATTTTTTCGTTTCTTTTTGTACTAATTGTGGCTTTTTATTGACGCCTTTTCTAGCAACACTCTCATAGGTTTCATAACAATAACAATACCACCTTTTACCCCACAAATTTTTCCTCTTTGCACCTAAATTAGCTCGATATCGTGTCAATAGTAGCTAAGACCCACTTGCTCAAGGTTACTGATCCATCTCTCATATTTGTCTACTGGAAGATGATAGGTTTTTACCCTTTCTGTTTCTGGGGCCTCTTTATCATCGTTAACAATCTCCCAAGCTTGACCAACGCCATCTGTTGCATCCAGAATACAGTCAAGCATGTTATCGAGCTCATTATCGATTATGTCCATATCGACATCCTCATCGATGTCAAAAATATCATCGATGTTAAGCGAAATTGGCATAATGAGCGAAAATATAAATATAAAATAATCCAATGAAACTGTTTATTTTAAATAATTTTGCGATACAATAAATATTAAAATATGTAAAAATTTAATTTGTCGCGCAAATGGTTATCATCTTTATTATGAATTCGACGAATGCTAAAAAAAACCTTCAAAAAATGGTTTAATCGATCGTGAAGAGTTGCTAAATTCAAAAGAAAGAAACGTTAGTATTAATGTTGAAAAAAAAAATTTTAATAACGGGTAATTATTACGAAAATAATCGCAATGATATTCGAAGTGATATTAATTGCGGCGCATAACGATGACTACATTAATTTTCAGCCACCCGATCGGCGATTTATCCAACGGAAAACGAAAATTGCATTCGGCCAATAGGAACTTGGGGGAAATTAGTAAACTCCTATATAGCCACCTTCTATAATTACATTATATTTAATCACATTTTTGTTTAGGTCCAACTATAATTTAATTTATAAGAAAAAAACCTCATATAAGCACAATTTCTTGAGAATAACTGTAATATTATTAAAGTTTACAAATTATATTATTATTTAACATATGTATATTTACAAAATGAATGATAGATAAAGAAAAAAAAATCTAATTACACCCAAGTTGAATTTTCGAAAGTATAAAACCATGAAATTTGAAATTATCTAAGATTCTCAATCTCATAATAATGACTTCTCAGAAAACAAAGCGCTTTGGAAGGCACAAAATGGGGCCAAGAATCAAATGAATCAAATATAAAACAAAATTTGTATAATAATATGTATGCCCTGTAGTAACATACTTATAATACTTCAAGAAAAAAAAATAAAAAATGAAAAAAAACTAAAATTCACATTATCCTTTGCTACAATTACTATTACTAGGTTTTTCTAAACTCTATGCACCGAATTTTCCAAATAAAAAAAATAAAAAAATAAAAATAAATAAACAAAGGTTATGTATATGATCAATTATTGGCCCCCAAAATCCCAGATTTTAATATCTGCATCATCGCCTGCTGTAATAATCTTTGTGTCACTCAGTGCAACACATGTAACAGCACCACAATGTCCAATTAAAGTATGCATGCAATTTCCTGAATCCTTATCCCAAATCTTTATTATACCGTCTTGCGCTCCACTAACTAATCTAAGCTTGTCAACTGCCAACGACCAAACACCTTCCTCGTGACCGAATAGGGTACGAAGGCATTCACCAGTTTGCAAGTCCCAAATTTTAATCACATTATCTAAAGAACTTGATATTATCACAGGAGTTAAGTTATCATCCTTTCGAGAATTTCGGTTGCATGGTTGATCATCATCAATAGTAGTTAAGTTTGTATTCGAATTCATGTGCAAGTACGTCGGTTGAATACATTGAACCGGAGCGTTATGACCATCAAAAATTTGAGTACATGATTGTGAAGCCAAATCCCAAATCCGTAAAGTATGATCATCAGAACAAGAGAGGAGTTTTGTCTTTTGAAAAATTAAAACTTTATTTACCCATTCTCTATGACCATTCAGAGTAAAACATTTGTGAGTAGAAAAGTTCCAGATCTTTATGGTAGTGTCAGTGGAGCCACTTGCAACAATGTAATCAACAAAATGAAGACATAGAACACCACCAGTATGCCCTTCAAGCTTCGTAATACATTTACCGGTATGATAATTCCATACTCTTAAAGTGTGATCCATTGAGCCAGTAATGAGTTTTGCATAATCAAATTGTAATGCTCTCACACACCGTGTATGACCAGTTAATGTACGAACGACTTCACCAGTTTCAAGATTCCAAACTCTAATAGTATTATCATAAGAACCAGTGATAAGACGATCTTTAATGTCATCGAATTGGAGACACATTATACCATCATCATGACCTTTTAAGACCCTATCATTATAACGACCTTTTCTCCAATTGAATTCAACGCGTTGTCGTTCAGCATAAACTTCTTTCCAAGGTCTTCTCATAGAACTTTCACATACAGATGGATGAGAGTCTTCAAATAAAGCAGATAACTTATCATCAGAAATACGAACACGTTTTATTTCAAGAATTTCATCTTGTGAATCATAATTTGGAGTATTTGGAGTTGAAGGTATCGTTGGTGATGGAGATGATGGTTGAGATTGTTCAACGGAAGCATATTGAATGTCAAGGGTTGTTGAACTACAAGTAGTCGTTACATAAGCAGGATAAGGATCATTTTCATTAGAAGTCTTTTTTAATCTATTTTGTTCTAACATTGACGGAATGCCCCAACCACATTTATGACACTTTTTATCAATGTGCTGTTCACATAATTTATGCCAAACCACCTCATCATCAGCAAGACGTTTCCATAATTTACAAACTTGAGCAGCTCGACATAAGGAAATTGCATCAAGATATGATAATATATGAATTGAAAGCTCTTTAGGAAGGGCAGCTATAAAATCAATACGAATAATGCCTTTAAGCCTGTTGGAAATAAAGGATAATTGAGGAAGACAACACTGGGCAAGAATTCCCTCTAAAATAAGATGACGACAGGATGGAGTTGAGGTTGAAAAAAGAGACCAAATCTTTATAATCTTTTCACGTTCAGATTCGGGCAAAATTTCAACCTGCTATAAAGATATCCAATTTATTAATGAGTAAAAGCAAAATAGAATTAAAATGATAACAATTTCAATAAAAAAAAAAAAAAAAACCTCTTTTAAGTCGTCAAGAGTTGTTTCTTTCATTCTTTTGAGATCTGGACGGTGACGCTGACAATATTTACGATTTTGTCCAGTATTAGCACTATTAGTTGGTTTATTCCTAAAAGTCAAAGCTTGTTGATGGCTTTCTTTGGAGACGTCATTTTCAGGTGAATTAAAAAAATTCACCACGGGTCCGGTCTCTTGCTCAAAATACGAAGAAGCGAATTTATCTTGCATTTTATTTTATAATTTTATGAAGAAAATAAAACGACTTTTACTAAACCTTTATTATATATAAAAAAAACAAATAGATGATCATTATTAATAAGATTGTGTAACGGATTTATTTATATTGTCTGTATTAGTTAGATACGGATAAAGGAAGATCAAATAACTTTCTTGATTTATTGTACTACAGGTTTCAATGACATATCAATTGCACCATTCTTGTGCTATTCGCGCGACAAAAAAAAAAAAATTGTTTTTGGAATATTCTCAATCAACTAATTTTTGAGGGATAATTCAAGAATCAAAAATAAAACGTCATTTTACTATCCTTATTTATATACATCACATTACTCCAATTTATTCATTTATCGTTAGATTACTAACAATTCCTAACAGAGAACCCTTGAAAATATTATATAAGTTACACAGCATTATTATTTCAAGTCTGTTTATTATCACGTACAGTACAAAAATTACACAGATTTTTCTTTTTTCTTTTTATGATTCGTGTTTGTTGTTAAAAATCAAAACTTTTATAGAAAATCACAATATCTGATATATCGCAATTTTAAGTGCTAATTTTTAATATGATCAAACGCGCCACCTTATACCAAAGTAGGAATATTTCACTTTATCATTACATATGATGCAAACATAATATATAACTGATAACGATTCGTATATTTTACATACATATTTGTATGCATAGTCGCATTCTTGAATATTTTAAGTTACTGTATCAATGCATATACCTGTTTGTAAAATATAGACTTACACGCGAAGGTCTTATTTTCTATATAAACTTCCTATTAACTTAATGGAGTGATCTTGCTTGTTTCATTATGGGCAATATGGAAAAAATATTCGTGATTTCCAATTTTATTATATATATTTTACAATATCATGTTTGGATCAAGCCTTACTTAACATTTCGGAATTTTGACCTTTTAGGATTTCATAAAGCATAATAAATTTTCTTAAAATTAGAAATCGCAAATACTTTTTCCCTATACTGACGTACATTTTTGTAGTTTATGACACATCAAAAAATAAAAAAATATTATGTATAAGGGTACTAACACTTATACGTAAATATAGGCACTCATGAGGAATGTCAATTGAATTTCCCAGGATCACCAGAGTCAATCATTTGACAATTACAAGTTCTAAAGTTCTAATGTAATAAATATATGCAAGATTTATATTGATTACTTTTAGGGATGTTTAAAAGGGTCCGAGTTGGTCTTTTGGAGTTGATTCCAAAAAAGTCGAGTCTTTATTAAAGTTCGGTCCCAAGTCAGACTTGGGACTCGACTTGCATTTCACGTGAACTTGTATATAAAATATAGCACAAAAAAAAAAAAATGCTGCACATGCAAAATATGCATAAATACACTTTTTTTTTAGTTATTTAATGTTCAAGATGCACATGAAATGCGAGTCAAGTTCCAAGTTTGACATAAAGGCTCGACTTTGGGACCGGACTTTAAAACTTGCAATTGTCAAATGACGGACTCTGAGGCCCTGGAAAAGTCAATTGAAGTGTTAGTACCCTAATATATACAGTATATATATATATATATATACAATAGTTATTATAAAAGCAATACTACATTAACAAAGCGTAGCAGTGTGATTGTAAGCAGTGTTTAAAATTCAAATTTCTCAAAAAGTCTTTAACGTTCTTTATAAAAAAAAAATTCGCAAATAGAGAACATATTTTATGTTCTCAAAAATTGAAATATTTCTCTGAGAATACTAAGAACATCAAATTTTAAACGCTGATAATTAGGGTTCGGAATAAGTTAATTGGACTGGGTTTGTGCGGAGCTTAAAAATACTACCGTAATAGCGTCTCTCTACGCTTTATTTTGGGTCCCTGCGCGTTATTTTGAATCGCGCATGCGCGAATTTTTTTCAAAATCTTGTAACACATGCGTGCTATTATAATAACTAAATTGTCTACAGAGTTTTATTAGAGAAAGCACATATTGTCTCTCATCGGGAAGTTTATTAGCTGCCGATACGAAAGTATCGGAACAGCCTTTTGTCTCGAATCTATCACGGATTGATTGTTTGCATTGTCTGATTTATCGTATGATGTCGTTATGCTTGCCTGATGCATTGTGATCTGAAAATGACGTCTTATAGAAATCTTTAATACAAAAATAATATTATCATCAAGGTCTCTATTTCTATACAATACAGTACTGGTTTAACGTAAATTATAAATGCCGCCAGTGTTGAAAATTCGTTGTGTATGTATTGTTATTTGCACAAAATTAACAATGGGCTGTGCAAATTGTACAAAAAATAGATGTATAAAAAAATTTTTTTGCACAGCATATTTGTGCCGAATTTTCAACACTGGATGCCGCCTTAAGAGAAACGGGTTTTTTCCCAGGAAAGGTAATTTCTGTTTTTTCTGCTGACCCGATTTTGTCTGGTTTTTTCGCCCCACCTTACCCGGCCCTCGTACACGATCGCACAGCGACTTGATGGTCTATTTGAAAACCCACGCTCGTTGTTTTAGTTGTTTTTGGTTAGTTATGGCCTGTCGGATGACAGTCATACATTTTGTTAGGAATGGCCTGTCGGGACGACAGTCACAGTGAAATTGTGTTGTTAGTTGTGTGGCCTGTCGAGACGACAGTCACAAAAGTTTTTTGTGTATATTGAAGCGGCCTGCCAAGACGACAGGCGTGAAGAAATTTCTAAGTGGCCTGTCGGGACGACAGTCACTTAAATTTTTTTTGTTTTTAGTATTAGAGTAATCGTAGGGGAACTAGGTTTTTTTTCAGATAGAATTATCTGGTTTTTTTTCGCCCCGTTCCTTGCGATGTACGAAGGCTTTTACATTGAAGTGGCCTGTTGGGATGACAGTCACAATAGATTTTTGTGTGCAGTTTTACATAGCACACGTTTTAGTTGTAGAGTAGTCGTAGGGGGACTTAGTGTTTTTTCCAGATGATTTTTTTCGCCCCGCCCCTTGCGATCGTAATAACTTTAGAAAGCCATCAGTTTTTTGTACTTTCATTATTTTCGATACTTTTGAGTTCTGCACTATTAGTATGTACATCATAGCACGAAAGCGGAAGGGACAGATAACCCATAGTTGTTTTTCTTCGTTTTTCTTCTTTTTGTTTTTCCATTTGTAACACCCGTCGATGAGAGACAAAAAAAATGAAAACAACTATAGGTATTCTGTTCTTTCCACTTTCGTGATACACCTACTAACAGTGCAGAATTTGAGAGTATCGAATGGACAACCTACGCATGATGTTAATGTTCACCATGAGTGTTATTACAACAGCTATTTGACGAGTGGGGCGAAAAAGAACCAGAATTTGTCTGGAAAAAACCGCTGGTTACCATGTAAACCAAAAACTAGGCTAGTGCTATGTACTCAAATACGAGAAATTCCTCATGACTGTCGTCATTTCAATGTCTGATATATAATATATATATTTACGTAATAAATCAATTACGTACGTACTGACGTATGAAGTTTATTTCATTGTTACAATCTTCTGCTGTATTTTATGGTCGATGATGATTGGTTGGTAACCCAGCCGGTACGGCTGGGTTACCGAACGATCAGAAGAGAACAGCAGTTGATGCATACGGGAACATGCAATAATATACAGTATGATACATATTATGCTACATACTACAAGAATTACCACAACGCAGTATTTTAATACTACCGCAATTACAACCTACAAAAAAATTCACTACAATCGGTCGTGATTAATTATATACCTCAATACGTACAGCAACACCACTAGGTACAGCAGATATAAACAAATATATATATATATACGTGGTTATTTAAACCTTATCAACGTATAGGCAGTATAACTATATGAGTAATTAAAACTTGTTCAAGTTCTTACTGTGGCGAACTGATGATTCATTACGTAATATTATATTTTTCAGAGTTAAGCTTGTCACAACGAAAGCTTCCTAGTTTTAATTTGGCAGCACTCATGTATTAGTAATAAAAATACCTCGTGATCTTGATATAGTGATCTATCTGTATTAATATGCTGATTTCCAGTTCCCACCGAGACGATTGAGACGATTAAATATACGGTTACACGATTACGGTTAAACGATTTATGCGATTATTAATCATGATTAATCATGGTTAATCGTATAACTTATAATCGATTAACCGCCGGCATAATTTTTCTCGGTTCCAATCCCTACAATTAAATTTCTGTACACTATAATACTGAACAATTTGATTATACTAAAACTCAAGGTATAAACTCCAATTACTTGACTTATAAAAGTGCCTAACACTATAACTGACAAGTCTATATATTTTATTAAACTGTAACAATCAAAGTTGGCAGGTAGGGTTTTTCGTATTTTAGGATTTTTGGACAAATAATTTCTTGTTATCTGGCATGATGTGACGGATACATGGGGATGATAGTAAAAGCACGTGGCCGAAGGCCACGTGCGTTGCTATCATCCTGCCGAATACCCATGTATCCATCACATCATGCCAGATAACTAGTTTATCCGGCAGGTATGACGTATACACTGACGGAACCATATTATTGCCCAAATAAACCTTTTTTAATTAATAAATGATAAGAACTGATAATTCGATGATGAATATATATATAAATGATAAAATGAACGAGTTTGTTTTGATTTTTTTAATAATAAATAATAAGAACTGATAATTCGAATGATGAATATATATAAATGATAAAATGAGCGATTGTGTTTTGAT